CCCTGGGATTTGCAGATATAGTGGCTCACACCTATAATCCTTACACCCAGGAAACTGAGGCAAGAGGATTGATTACAAGATCAAAGGCAGTCTGAGGCTACAACATGAAAGCCTGCTCTCCACCTCCTTCCCCGATCCCCACAAAAAAAAAAAAAAAAAAGGACATGGGAAGGGTCCCAAGATTAAACCACTGAGGTTTCTTTGTTTAAGGAAGAGAGAAACCCTTTTAACAGCTTCGGGCAGAGGGAAAGGTTTTCTCGGGTAGCCATTATGTTTACTAATATAAAGGTTACAGAGGTCCCAGCAAGAGCCGTGTTGGGGAGGGGGAGAGGCAGATGCCACTTTGTCGGATGACAGGGAGTGAGAGCCCTGTTTGGGGTGAGTCAGAACACTGGCCCCGTGTCTTTCCTGAGCTGGTCCCACTGTAGCATTGCCCCCCCCCCCATACAACGGTCCTGGAAGTTTATTGGATCAGACACTTGGCCTGGAAAAGGTCAGATCTCATTAGAGATCCAGGAACGGGGTCAATAGCAAGAATAGCATCCTCCCAGCGAGTAGCTTCTCTGATGGCAGGTCCAGGTAGGAACATGCAGGGAACGTGGCGCCCGCCCGTCATCTAGGGTTAGGTGATACGAGGTGCAGGGCGAAGACAGCCTGAGACTAAACTGGAATCCTCGGGATTTGGTGCAAAGAACGTTCTGGTGAAATGACAGAGCCTATTTTCCTCGTGAGACTTGAGACCTTGACATGCCCACTATTATTAACTGTGGAAACTTGGCACCCAAGCTGGCTCCACAGCTCCGCAGCGTCCAGAGGTCACTTTGTCATTGTGTTACCCTCGAGTGGCTAAGGTCATGGGAGGTTATCAGCCAAAGTGAGGGTTAGGAGCTATCACATGGGAGGGCTGGCTCAGTGCCAGCTAGGAAATACCCGTTCCCACCTTGAGGGGGCGCCAGAGTGCACGCCCCTAAACCTTCCTGTTAAAAAGTCTTTTCTGTTTGCTGGGCAGTGGGGCAGATTCGGGCACCATTTGTGTCAGACCGGTGTGTGAAGCAGGCGGTACATGGGGGCGATGTAGAAACTTAGGACTTGGCCCCAGCTGATGCCTGAAGGTCACTCTGGCAAGCGATGACTAGCCCGGGGTGGGAGCCGTACCCTATGCCCAGGGAACAGCGGGTGATAAGGGATGCATTGTGGGAAAAGGGGGAGTGAGGGAAGCCAGAGATGGAATTGGGTAGAGAGAAGGGACCTGGAGTAATACGAATGTAGGAAGCAGGTGATGTCTTCTAGGAAGGGCGTTGGTGGCGCACACCTTTAATCCCAGCACTCGGGAGGCAGAGGCAGGCGGATCTCTGTGAGTTTGAGGCCAGCCTGGTCTCCATAGCGAGTGCGAGGATAAGCTCCAAAGCTACACAGAGAAACCCTGTCTCAAAAAACCAAAACCCTTCTTCTAAGTGGCATGAGGAGCCACTGGAGGTTTTCTTTTGTTTCTTTGAGGCAGGGTCTCACAACATTAGTCCAGGTTTGAACTCATTGTGTAGCTCGGGCTCCTCAACCTCATCCACCTTCCTTCTGCCTGGGCCTCCAGAGCCCTAGGGTTTCAGGGATGCACCATCACACCTGGCCGCCGGAGGATTTTGAGCTATGAGGAGAATAGTCTTCCTGGATCTCAAGGAAGCTCCCGTGCCAGATCTTGGGAGTGGTGGGCCAAGGGGGAGCAGGGTAACCGAGGAGGAAGATGCTGAAACAGGTCTGGCAAAGGCTGACCAACCCAGGCTGGGCCTGTCAGCAGGCTCTCCCTTCCCTACCCAAAAGGGGACGGTGAGGACTACTAGCAACAGACCCAGAACAGAGGGAACTGTAGAAACGAGGGGAAGAGGGAACAGACTCAGGTCTCCAGTCCCAGGATCCTCCCTGCCATAGGTAGGGCTGCTGATTGGTCTGCAATACAGAAAGAGGGGACCTTCACCAAGGCCCAGTACAAGCAGCCAGCAGATAGAGGCCAAAAAAGCGAAGGCTGAGGCCAATCAGGTGGATTCAGGCCCAGTAAACACAGGGCTGCGATGGAGACACACCCAGCGATAACCCACCACAAGTGTGGAAATAGTGACAGTGGGAGGGGGTAACTGGGACAGGAATCCCCGGAATTTCACAGGACACTCAGAGCACCCCTCAGCCCCGTGCAAAAACAAACGACACTGTCATCTAGGATTTAAAGTTACTGATTCTGTGCAGCTTTGCCCAGTGGCAGCCATCAGCTTCCTGAGGTCTACTGCCCGTTGACCCTCTGGTCAAAGCAAGTGCCTTGCACAATTTGGGTACCAAACCCAGGCTGCTGAGTCACTATCTCCAGGTGATTGTCATCTTGATCTCACACTCTGTCTAGCAGCATGCTGCCACGCCTAGCCATGGATCTCGGGGTGACTAAGGCTGTAGGCGTCCATAACATTAGAAGACATCCATGATTCCCTGGAAGACTTCCTTGGGGCCGAGCTCTCTCCATGGGCTCCTAAGAGGGAGAACCTGATGGGATGGGGGTCTCCCTAAAGAGAGCAAATCTCCTCTGGGTAGTGGGACCCAGTGGTCCTTCCTGAGGTTCCCAGCAAAGTCTAGGCCCTCATACGCCTGGAGAGGTGTCAGTGCTCGGCGTTGTCTTGGCCGCAGTGGGATTAGAATGTTGGGACCAAGTGGTGACCAATAAATTGTCCTGATCCCTGCCCTCTCAGGGCCCCAGTTCTTACAGAACAAGTAGAGGC